AGAGAGAGAGACACACACAGAGAGAGAGAGAGAGAGAGAGAGAGAGAGAGAGAGAGAGGTGCAAACTCTGATTCCCACTGACGGCACATCATCAGCACACACAACATCCACCTTCTGCTTGACCACAGGACAGTCTTTCTAAATAAACAGCACAATATGAGTCCCTGCAGCACAAAAGCAGTCTTAAGTCGCTGGGGTATATTTGTAGCAATAGCTAACAATACATTGTATGGGTCAAAATTATACATTTTTCTTTTATGCCAAAAATCATTAGGATATTAAGTAAAGATCATGTTCCATGAAGATATTTTGTAAACTTCCTACCGTAAATATATCAAAACTTAATTTTTGATTAGTAATATGCATTGCTAAGAACTTCATTTGAACAACTTTAAAGATGATTTTCTCAATATTTAGATTTTTTTTGCACCCTCAGATTCCAGATTTTCAAATAGTTGTATCTCAGCCAAATATTGTCCTATCCTAACAAACCATACATCAATGGAAAGCTTATTTATTCAAAAGATTTACCATTATGTCTGGTTTTGTGGTCCAGGGTCACATATGAAAATAATAAGTATTTAAAGATCAAATTTGGAAAAAAATTTTTTTATTCAATAGACAAACACTGCTTCAAATGACTTACTTTTAAAAAATCTATAAAAATGTGATTTGATGCTGATCTGATCTCTTAATCAGACAGATTGAAATCTCAGTGAAATGGATGTAGTATCCAAAAATAAAAAAATTGCATAATTAATTCAAACAGTTAAATTACATATTTATCCATACTCAATTTTGAATGATGTGCGGTCACTGTATAAATAAAACACTGAAATTAAAATTAAATACAAACAGAATAAAAAAACAAATAAATGACGCGATCAAAAATAAAATCAACAACAAAAATACAATATGAAAAGTACAGTGCATCCAAATGACATAAAGAAAGTGGATCTCCGCAGTCCATCACTGGGAATCGGCCAGCACACTTTACATTCGAGAGCGACGGTGGCTGTGTTAAAGTTCACGGTCTTCTCCTCCGTCAGGCTTCAGGATCTGTGGTGCCATCGTCTGTGGCGCTCCTGGAGGGTTTGATGGTCGTGGCTGGTCTCGATGCACAGTACGATGAAGCGGTTGGAGCAGCTGCGTGTTTGCTGGTTCAGTAAGCCGCTGTAGAGGAACGACGCTTGACCGGTGATGGCCATGTCACCCGCTCTCCACGACTCACAGTTCAGAGCGGACAGACGCTTGCCTCTCTCTGAAGAGCCGTGCCACACCGCCTTCTGAGGCCTGAAACACACACACACACACACACACACACACATGAGCCGAGGCACTCAATGCTCAACAAATAATTGCTGAACTTTCTATTCATCTGTGAATCCTGAAAAATAAAATGCATCACAGTTTCCACAAAAATATTGTGCAGCACAACTGTTTTCAACATTGATAATAATCAGAAATGTTTGTTGAGCAGCAAATCAGTATATTAGAATGATTTCTGAAGATCATGTGACACTGAAGACTGGAGTAATGATGCTGAAAATACAGCTGCGCATCACAGAAATAAATTACAGTTTAACAGATATTCACATAGAAAACAGCTGTTTTACAGTGGAATAATATTTCACTGTTTTTACTGTGTTTTTGATCAATTAAGTTTGCTGTTTGAATTGTATTGGACATATGATTTGTCTAATAAAGCAGTAATCATGAAGGCCCATCCCTAAACCTGACCCTCAATGCTTCGTCATTCATACAAATTCACCACCAATTTAACAAAGCGTCATATAGTTATGAACCGTCATGAGACGGTGTGGACCAAAACAGACAGCGATCTACATGTAACGTGGGGTTTGGGTTTCATGTTCATTGCTCTCATGTCTTTTATTTTGGAGTTTAGTCATAGTCCCTGTCTAGTCATGTGATTCCCTTGCCCTCATGTTATCCTGCTATTGGTTCTTTGGTTCATGTGTCATGTTCTCATTGGTTGTGTTAGTCATGTGTCCTGTCTCTCATTGGTTGGTTCTTGTCAAGTGACCCTTGTTGTTTGATATAAATAGCCCTCATGTTGCC